ACTTTTACTGGACAGATGAGCTGTACCTCCGTTTGTGCCCTCGGAGACACCGTTTTCCTCTTCAGTACATTATGAGGTCTTATGTGTTCCTTGAACTTGACCGGGTTTACTCAAATTTACCGGACATTACTTTCAATTAAGGAGCAGTGCAATAAGCGAAGAGCAATTGCAGACCAACTGGCAGTTGGCAACTGCAGGTGGAAGTCCCGGGAGGTCGAGGTATACACGTGTGAATAAAAGGCGGAACGTTCAAAGGAGATGGCGATACACATCACTAATCATTCCTGTGGAGGGGAGGTGGTCACATGTCAGAACAAAGAAAGAGATCACTAGGTATATTCCAGAGTAGTTCAGGGGATGGTAACAAGATATGTTCCTACTAAGTTAGTAGCACTAACACTTTCTAAAATGTGAGTCTGTAAACAAGATCACTTTTAGGACATGCAGTAGTGTCAAATAAAGGTAGACTGGTTTCTAAGATTTCTGTTTTTTGCGTACCAGTGCTTATGTGCTAGCACTAATGCGGGTTCAGAAATTTGATCACTATTGCGGGTTTGGACATTTGATCATTACTGCGAGTTTGGGTGGTTCAGTGGGGGGCCTTTATAGCATCGTCAGTTCTGTCATAATGTATTTGGTTTAGACCAAAGCTCGAACTATGACTTACATATGCGACGATGATGTAAAAGGCGCCATCGGGAAAACCAACAGCACAAGAGTGTCAACTCTCAGCTGTGTTTAGTCGCCGCAAGTAGTGCGGATTATGGTTTTCCCCATGGCAACCACCCAAACCACTATACCTCTACACAATGGGATATCAGGAGGAATTGAATGGAGGTCCATTTATGGAGCAAGGTCAACGACGACTAAGACCGTTGTGTAGAGTGGAGAGACAGTTGAGCGTCACAAAGAGCGCTAGATTAGTCGAGCGCTCGCCGGGACGCTAGAACTTTTCACTCGGAGAGGCCCAGTTGCTGTAAGTCAGCATCTGATGGGATACGTACGAGGCTTCTCCCGCCCACCTGCACCCTCTAGAGGTATAGGGGCCTTTATAGCATCGTCAGTTCTGTCATAATGTATTTGGTTTAGACCAAAGCTCGAACTATGACTTACATATGCGACGATGATGTAAAAGGCGCCATCGGGAAAACCAACAGCACAAGAGTGTCAACTCTCAGCTGTGTTTAGTCGCCGCAAGTAGTGCGGATTATGGTTTTCCCCATGGCAACCACCCAAACCACTATACCTCTACACAATGGGATATCAGG